TCAGTAATGTACATATTAGACTCCACTTTAAAACTTCACATGGCCAGACTATTTACATTTTGCATGGACGGTGGGCAGTTTCACATTTCTTTCAACCAATGCTGGAAAGCTTATGAAGTCAAGCCATGATATCATTCTTACACATCGAAGTTTTTGGAATAATATGCTCAAATTTACTTTATTATTTTTTTTCTTAGAATGTTTAAATCCATCTTTGCATTTAATCTGGTTACATGTTAATCATTAAATGTAATGATGAGATATGGTTTAAGAGATGGATCCCTTGTGCCAAACCAGTTTTCCAGTCATTTTTCACCTTTTGTCATTCATGGATCAAGCTTCAAAATTTTCAGTTTCTCTCTGGCATTTCTGGAAAGTTTCAACAATTTAAAATTTTATTTGTATAATTACCAATAAAAATTGCTTATATATCTCCCTTTTCTTCTCTCTCTCTCTCACTTGCCTCCCTTTTTTCCTCTCTATTCTTTTCACTTTAGTCTCTATTCTCTCTAGCTCTCTTGCCTCACTTCTTTCCCCTCTCTTTCTTACACAGGCATTGGTTGGTAGCTGTCACAAGTACTTTATTAAAATACTGAGAGGACCTCCTCATCAATTATATTTCCATCCCCAATCAGTTTTTATCTCTTCTTCCCCATCTCTCTCGCTTCACTCCTTCCATTCTCTCTCACCTCAGTCTCTCTTGCCTCATTTCACCTCTTTTCTCTCTCCTCTCCCTCAGTGAGTGATAAAATCGTCTTCATAATCACCCTTGAGTTTTAAGTGTTAATCTTCTAAGAATCATTTTCTAATGATTTATCACATTGTTGTCCAAGAGAGGCTTTGCACTTGCTAAACTTGGATAGTCTTCATTTTATTTCAAAGTGTTCATATATGATTGAAACACTGTCATGTGGGATAAAATAAACAGCTTATTATATCTTCAAAAATATAAAATTTTGTCTCCTAAAAATAACTGTTCACAAAAAAAAAAACAAAAAAAAAAAAAAAAAAGAATAAAGGGATAAATCTAAAATCATGGGCATTGTTTGATAGCCGTCACAGGTACTTTATTAAAATACTGAGAGGACCTCCTCATCAACTATAATTCCATTCCCAATCAGTTTTTATCTCTCTATTCAATCATTCTCACATTTCTCCTTATATAGAAAACTTTAATTTCATTTTATACACGTAATCCTTAGTCATTCTCTTAATTCATGAAACTTTGATTAGTTATCCAGGTCATAAATCTGATTTGTAAAATGACTTTTATTGTTTCTCTATAAATCCCAGAATGCATTGTTCAATGTTGAGAGCGTTTATTATACTGACATATCATTACAAAACCACCTGAGCTGAGGATGACTGTCCAATTCTCTATCCATATGTTTATTGGGTTATAAAATTATCTGAGTTCTTGATGGCTTTGGTTACAATAAATGTTTGCTAACATGATGATTCATAGTGCCAACCTGTTAAACAAAAATAATCATGTTATTTGTAATCTTGGGTTTTTAGAAGTATTCAGTGTATCAACTAAACCTTTTTTAAACTTTAAAGAACTTTGTTACCATTTTTTCTTGAATCATTTATGTTTTACAGGTTTTTTCAAAATGTATTGACCTTTATTCAAAATATAGAATTTTATTCAAATTACTACCATTTATTCAATTTTTTTCCCCTTTTTGGTTGAGGCAGAAATTTTTGATAAATTGAGATGAGGAATTTTTTTTATCATTCCACTTTAAGCAAGGCAATAAAGCCACTAAAATGCAAGGGATTACTGAGAGAATACGAGAAAAAGAATATATTATGGACCGGACAATAAATGAACAGGAATTAAGAAGACAGAAGATAATGATTGATATTGCATTAAAACTTTTGAAGATCAAAGTTGATTGAAAAGCAAGAAGCTTAAAGAGAGTTCTAAAAGAGAGAAGAAATTTAGCATAGAACTTGTTTACATCTCGCTGCCATTTCAATTGAAAAATGATGAGACCTAGTTGTTAATCTAGTACTGTGTTTAAATTCATAAAGCCTAGGTACCAAAGAAGAAGACTCATCAGTACAATTACCATGAAAATATTCATAGAAAAAGCAGAGGGAAGCTATGTTATGGCAGTTTCTTAACCAAATTGATTACCATATTTGCCAGTGTCAAGGACGGTTTTTTTTTTTTTTTCCCTGAAATAAGTCTTGAAAATTTGCCATACAAAGATTAGGGTTTTTGCAGGCCTATACTAACCCCAGAGGAAGGTTATCTATGCCAAATAGTAAACTGAATTCCTATATGTTATGCAAATTTTCAAAACTTATTTCAAGAACAAAAACTGTAACCATGACACCAGCACATATGGTAGATATTCTCTTTGTTATTAAGATGAGAGTTTCTTGTATTTTTTCCCTAACCTCAACTTTTTCTTGTGTTTCTTGCTTTGCTGATGGTGGGCTCATGTCTGTTAAGTGTGAGAGAAAAGCAAATTGAATAAAATGTTTCAGAATTTACAATAGTCCCCAAACACTTTTTTTTTTTTTTTTTTTTAAATCAATTAGAATTTTATATTCTCAATAAAGGTACTTGTAAATTTGAATAAAAGTACTTTGGCTTTAAATAAAGATGCATATATTTTGAATAAGGGTCTGTTTGTTTTAAAGAAAAGTATTTATAAGTTTGAATAAATCCTGTAACATGATTCCTGAGAGTTCAAGGGTCATCGCCAATTTTCAAAGATTAACCTTTGTGTCCTTTTTATAGGCAATCATTTTGAATTAAGTTGCTATATTTTTTCACTTTTTAAAACAATGAAAAATAACAATCAAGGCTTGTTTTCTTGATACAGAAAATAGTCTGCATTTTGTATTTCTAATATAAATATTTCTTCAAGTGTTCATGTTTGAATACGGTTAATCATTTTGCTTGTTACAGCAATTAAAGAATTGTAAATAAGTCTTTTATTTATAAAGTATATTTTATCAAATCTGACAATATTTCTTAATTTAATGTTTTCTTTTTACTTACACTATGCGCTTGCTTTTGGATTGTTTTTGAATATTGATTTAAAAGGTATCTATTTTCTTTGATCAATTTTTTTCCGAAAATTCTCAGGTGAATCTACAAATAGAAATGATTTTTTACTGATTTTATATTGTGAGTTATTTTCTAAACTTTCAACAACATGCATAGCTTTTTAAGAACACAGAATACAAATACAAAAGATTTAATGAAATTGTGTGAAGCTTTGTTGAGTCACATGACCATTATATTTTTTTTATTGACTGGAAAAAAAAATATTTGTTTGTTTTCTATTAAATTTTCTGGTTCTTTTTCCTTTTATGTGAATTCCAAAAGGCTATTCATGTTGCTGCAAGATTGTGTTTTTTAATGCTGAATTTGTATTAAGATTATATTTTAATGAGGGGGTGCTGGAAAGTTCTCAACCTGATTTTGCAAAATCTGATCAAAATATCAACATCTTTTGTTTGGGTGACAACTTTTCAGCATTTCTCATAATGGTATCATCAATTCAATACCTTGCAATGTATCTTCGAATAAACAAATAAACATTTTGACTGTATTGATAATTTTAAGGATTTTTTTTTTTAATTTTATTCAGATAAGTTTGCATTTTACACTAGTCTAAAAATTTTGCTTGAATTTTCTTCAGAATTGATTTGTAAATTGAGAAATATGCATAGCAATAGAGGAACAAGGTTCTCATTATAGAACTTTGATTTGTTGAAATAATGAAATACTGGTTATTCTACTCTTCAAAATCACCCCTTCCTAATTCCAAATGAATGCACTTTGGTATTTTTCTCCTCCCTGATGTAACAGACTCTTTTGAAAGTTTTTAAGAACCCAATCATACTCCTGTTGATGCCCTCCACAAACTCAAAAGGGACTTTCCAAGTTGTGGGGAGAAGACTGAAATTTCATGGTTGACATATGACAAGTAGTGTTGGTTATATCTGCACTCTGTACACCCCTTTTTCAGGATGGCTCGAAAATTTTAACCAAAAACTTCCTTGTTGGTCTTTTACTGAGAGACTCACAGAATGCACATGACTGGAGATAAAAACCCAAATGGTAAAAGATGAATAAGTACATCAATTTGAAACAAGCCATATAAAGTGTTACAGATGTTGCACAACTGTTATTTTTAGTGGGACATCTGTTTGGGTTGTTCTCCCTGTTTTATATTTTGTTAAACAGTGAAATTAATATCTACTAGGTGAGATCAAGAAGAAAAATGTAAATGAAATAATAATACCAACAACAAATGTCAGATTGAAATGAAATCCATTTTAAAAGTACAATGCTTACATTTCAATTAGAAAACTGAAGCTAGCAGATATAGATTCAAAGAAGTCCTATTGAGAGATTTGCATTCCTTAAATAGGTCATTGAACTTTGCTATAGCTAAATTGGTATGACACACTTTGGATTCCCTGATTTAAGGAAAAAAAAAAATACAGATTCCTGTCTGGAGGCGCATTTTTATTTAGTAATAAACTTCTTGATTTAGTCTGGTTGGTATTAATTTCACTGTTTAACAAAATATAAAAAAAAAAAAAATACAGGTATATAAATTTAAACACCTGTATCCATTAAAAATAATGTTTATAGTAATAAAAGATAATGGTGGATTAAAAAAAAATAATCCATTTCAAAATTGTAACTTGTAATTTATTAATGTAAAAGAAATCACAAAAGCTCAGTCACATAATCAGCAGCTTCTCTCTTGTATTCTTTGTTTTTTCTTTTTTTGTTCTGCCTCATATTTTTGATGAATGTCATATAACTTGTTACTTAAAAGGGACTTTAAAATGAACTTCCTTTATCTGATTTATCTCTTTCAAATATTTCCATGTTAATAACAACAACCATGAATATTTATTAAGCAATATTATGAGAACATTTAAAAAATGTTAGATGTTTAAATGATACGTTTTATTTAAAATGTTTGTCTTCTTGCATCCTATAGAAAGACAGCTTATTGCCATATCATATTGAAACACTGGTTCTCATATTATCACCAAAGTTAAGCAATGTCGAACCTCGTCAGTATCTAGATGGGTAACTGCTTGGGAATACCAGGTGCTGTAAGCTTTGATGTGTGGGTGGTATAATGGTTAACAGTTCGGAATTGTTAATCGGAAAGCTAAGTTCCAATTTCAGTTGGGTTTCCTATATTCACTTATGTGCTGTTGGTTAATTAGCTGAACTTGTTTCACTAAATCACTATTATCTATAAAAAAAAATTATTACAATTTAAAAATATTTTCTGGCTTTAAATAACCTGCAAAAGGTTGATAAGACATAAAAAGTAAATTAATCAATCAATTGTAACCTATTGAAAGACTTGGTTGCAATCATCAGTTTATACACAAACTGCAAGGGCAGAGAATTACCCCCCAATAATAAGAAATGTAGGGATGTGTGGGTAACTTTACTATTATTGAGATCCCCCTTTCCATTTCAATAATTCAACCAATATCTTGCTTAGTGACAAGTGTAGTTTTCCTTATGACTGGATCTTTTTAGAATTTTAAACCAAATACAAAATTACATGCTCAATGCAGTGTTATTTGATATTCATAATCAAAATATTAACAAAGGAAAGTAAAAGAATTGTGAAAAGATCTATACTTATGTTTCATATATTACATAAAACATTCAGTAAAGTTCAATATGAAGAACTTCTTGAAATGTGAGAAGAGATTGATCTACATGGAAAAGATAGTCAAATAACCTGCAACTGGGCACAAAAAGCTTGCATGTGGATAGAGAAGAAATTTTAGTGAATACTTAAAAATAAAAAGAGTAAGACAGGATAATTACTGGATTTATTTAACCTGTACAGTGAGATAATCCTAAGAGGACTAGAAAACCTCTTCAGATTTATTATCAGTTTTCTTAATCTTAACAACATAAACTACATAGATGACATTATGCTGTTGGAAGGATTTACAAGAAAAACTGAAAAAAACTATTACAAAAAGTAATGAATGAAAGCAAGAAGAACAGGACTAACTATTAAATGTAAAAAAAAAAAAAAATGTAAAGTTGTCAGCAGAAAAGAGCAGCCCAGAGTGAGAGATACATAGCAGGGATATCAAGATTGAGCAGCTGCAAAGATTTATTTGGGTTTTAGAGTACCAGATGGAGAGTTTGACGCAGAATTCCGAAGGTGTATCATATTAGCAAAAATACTTTCCAGAAACTGAGCAAAGGATTGAAAAATGTTTTTTTTGAAGCAATAATCCTGGACTACTATGTAATATCTAATGTGTTATATGGCAGTGAATGTGAAACAGTTTTATCAGATGAAGAAAAATAATTTTATGGGACAAATTTGGTTCTATTCAGGAAATATTGAGAATACCTTGGACAGATTATGAGGAACGTTTTAAGAATAGGGACTGCAAAAAACTTGTTGCACAATAATGAAACAGCTGAAATTTTTGAGACACAGTATGAGGAAAGATAGCTTTGAGAATTCAATACTCACAGGTCTTATCAAAGCCAAGAAAAGTGGAGGAAAGCAACACATGAGATACTTGATAAGTTTGAGTAAATGGCTGGAGAAATAAGTATTGCAATAAAAGAGGAGTTATAAAGGAACATGTATTGCTCCATCTCCACCACCAGAGGGGAGAAAAAGGGTAAGGAAAGAGGGTGATGATCCTGATGCAAATGGCTGCCGACTAACAACAAAAGGCAGGAAGTTGTGGTGATCCATGATTGAACAGGTCCTGAAGAGACAAGAAAAGAATCCAATTTAAAACAGCAGATGACTTTTTCCTTTGTAAAGACAATAAATTACCCTGCAGTATTTTCATGAATGCTATACATTTAATACATACATTTGTTATTATAGATTATTGTACTTCATTTTAATTTTTTTTTCTTACTTTATTATTTACAACAGTCCATTCAGCAGAGTACAAGTTGTCCAAGATTCAGTTATTCAGTGTGTTATATATTTTTTATATAATGTTGAAAGTTTTTTTTATTTCATTTTGACATTTTGCTTTATGTGAGCATTTTCAAAATATAACTAAGAATTCTAAAGAAAAGTATTTACCATGGAAACCCTGATGTATATGATGAAGTGAATTTGAAAAATTTTAACAATTAGTAGAAAATTTAAAACTATATCTCAGAACAAATCAATGAGATTTGCATATAAGAAATACATTAACATAAGATGTAAATATGATTTTGTGTATATATATATATATATATATATATATACACACACACACAATTCAATGAAAACCGACAACTTTAAGGGTCCATTGGTTATAATTTGTTCCCCCAGGGAATTTCTTTTTCCGTGTCTCATCAGACCATACTTCCAAGGGTGAAAAAATGAATTTAAATTTACATATATTTTTTATGCACTTTTGATGGGTAGTGTTAAGTTGATGTAAGGTGATATAGAGAATGGGGAGAGATGGTGACAGACATGGTCGAAATTAGAGAGAGAAGGGAGAGATAGAAATGATATATATAGAAGCATGTGTTGTTAAAGACTATGGAATTTTTTCATTTAATAATCTTTTTTTTTTCTTGCTTTCTCACAAGTTTTTTTTATATTTGGGTTTAGGGTATTTGATTACTATAGAAAAGATTAATAGTAAGCAGGAGCTTTTACTTGTTGGCTTTTTAAATATTTATGTATTAAATGTATCTTTGCTGTTGGAATCTATGAATATGTCAAAAAAAGGTATTTTGTTGTTGATATTTAGTTTGACTATGAATTTTAAAATGGAGTCTTCCTCAAATGTTTGTTTATATATATCTATAACTATCCTTCAATTCCCCCTCCTGCCATAAAACATACAATCCTAGAAAAACTATTACTAATATGCATCACACAAGTTCCCTTCTATGATCCACTAGGGAAAATATATACCCAAATCAATGGTGTATCTATGGGTTCTCCTCTAGGTCCTATGTTTGCTGAATTCTACATGTTACACATCGAAAACACCATATTTAATAACCATATAAGCAAACCTACTATTTACACTAGATATGTCAATGACATCTTTATCACAACACAAAAAAATGACACAATAAACTTAAACAGACCTTTGAGGAAAATTAATATTAAAATTCATAGTCAAATTAATATCAATAACAACCATTTCTCAACATACTCATATACTCCAACTACAAAGATACATTTAATACATGAATATTTAAAAAGTAAAAACTCCTGATTGCTTAACTTCCATAGTGAATGTTCAGATGAATATAAAATATCCCTAATCAAAAACTTAATCAATAGAGCTTTTCACATCACCCCATCTAGAACAATATTTTATAAAGAACTTAGAAACACTCATAAACAATAACTTCCCCACTGAAATTAGTTGACCAACATATAAAACACTACCTTTCAAATATACATAATAATAACAAAGAAAAAAAAAACAAATAACAATAACACTATTAAGCTTTTCTATAGGAATCAAAGGCACTGCAATTCAATGAACTAGCTATACACTAAACCCACCCAACAACACAAATAAAATTAATAATATGCTACATCAAATTTAAAACCTCAAACCTAATTGTTTGAAATAATACTACTTCTTCCCCAAACTGTTCCTCAATCAAACCAATGTAATGTACAGTCTTGCATGCCCATTTCGAGAGTGTTTCTCATATAATAACCCTAGCACATATATCGGACACACAACCACAACTTTCTCATGTCATCTTACATACCATCTTAATCAGCGCCATAAAAAATCATGTTATAACATACTGTACCACTAGTAAGATTCAAATCTTCAGAAATAAGAAAAATCCTAATCCAACAACAATACCAAAATCCTCTACAAAAACAAATGCAAAAAATGATTACAAATTCTTGAAGCAATCATACTTAAAAATCAAAAACCCAACATAAATAAAATAGCATTTAATACTGGCAAAAACATCTTAAACATATTTAACAACTAATCCTCCAAATAATAAATACCAACCCCCTCCCAATTATTAATGAACTAATCCAATAACACTGCCTAAATACCTAAAATATTATCTATAAAATAAAATAATAAACAACCTACTTCTAACTGAAACATACAGCCAAGGTGATGGTTGATGACAACTGAAAGCGCTCGACAAAACACCAAGGATTAGGGTCTTTTTTTCAACAACTTAGACCAAAATATATAAAAACTTGTAAGAAAAAAAGATTATTAAACGGAAAAGTTCTATAGTCTTTAACAACACATGCCTCAATAATGACATGCTGTCAACATATATGATTAATACAAATATAAAATTTGTCACTTAGCTGATTGATGTTACCTTCAGTATCCCATCTCTAGAACTTCGTAAATGGATCCTCAAGCAATCGATCCATCCAATCATCAGTGGATATATAACACAAATAATTAACACCTATTAAAATATTCACTGTATTTCATGGCAAGCACAATTGTTGTCAAGAAAGTGCTTAATAGATTTATCTGACCTCGATAAATTGGTGAATGCTGCCATAATCCTTGCCTTCAGTTCATCTTTGGTGTTACAAGGAGTTTTGTTGGTCTCTTGCTCAACTGCACCCCACACATAATAATAAAGGTGGTTGCAGTCTGGGGTATTAGGTGGCCAGAAGCAAGGGGTGATGTGGTTGCAGAAATTGTCTGACAGCTATGACTGAGTTCTCCTGCTTGTGTGGCATGGTGCAGAGTACTGTTGCCATATATAGGATCTTCCACCAGCCACCCTCTTAACCTAGGACCACACTACCTCCTAAGGCACTTGATGTAGGCCTCCATATTGAGTCTGTGGCCCTCACCAACAAATTCAAAATGATCAGAGTGAGTTTTCCGACTTGCTGTACCTTCATAATCACCATTAGACTCATCCAACTCTTTCTGAATCCTCTGCACTGTCCTGAGATTGGCAACGAAACACTCTGAAATGTTTGTATTGGTGCTTCCAGTGTGAATGCCAAGCAATACAGCATGCAGTTTCCAAATTTTGTAATTTTGTGAATTGCATCTTGGTGCTTTTTTTCTCATAGATGCTGCCCAACTGAACCTATTATACTGTGCAGTTGACAAAAACAAACAATGC